CCAATCTCAAGATGTCCAACATTTATAACAGTTGTTTTCCACTGTACAAAACAACTACAGAGTTAAAAGCAAATCAGACAAGCCCTGCTGCTGCATTTCATTATCCTTGGAAAAAGACTGGAAAGCTTTCTGATTAAAACCCCTTTTTAACTAGTTCTATAGTAAATCTTAATACTGTGCTTCCAGTTACTGCCTTTTCTCCTCATGAGTTTGGTTTTTTTAATTCCCTAGGCCAGTCAAGCAGCTCTCTTTTTCCATTCTGAAACCAGCCTCCTACATGTAAATATGATCTAGAAACATGATTAAATGCCAGTGGGGGAAATAAAATGGAAAAAAAAAAAAAAGAAGAAAAATATTCCAGCATTTCCTGGAACTGAAAAGAAATCTGGTCAAGACACCTAAGTCCTCCAGGGCAGAGCAGTTATATTAATTAATTCTGGCTTAGTACAGAGGTGATTCTTCAAATCATTTTTCTCAGAGCCCCAGCCATGAAATGAGCAGTGTACCAGTGCAGTAAATGTGGACATCAGCACTCCCTGAGCCTCAGGGCAAACCCAACCCCCTGCTGCCACTCTGAGCATCAGCATTTCTGAATTAAGAGTTTCCCACTGGTCCCCCAGCACATGAATTTTTAAGGGTCAATCTTTCTCCTCCCAGCTCTGGAGTCACAGAAACCATAAAATGAAAATCACAGTGGAGCCTCACAGGGCTCATGTCCCATCTCAGGGAAAATCCACAGCACTGTGGAGAGAGGGAAACCCCAAGAAAAAAAATCTTAATTTCTTCTACTGGCAGCCCCTTGCAGCAGTTCCCCATCAGCAAATCAGCACACCCAAAAACCTGCCCTGTTATGGAGTAATTTGTCCCTTGCCACAAACTACCCTTGAGAGGCCTGGTCACAGTGTAAGAGACAAAAAAGGTCATGCTTTAAAGACCTTTAACACTTCAGTTCTGTCCCAAATTCCAAATGAAGAGCTGCAGAATTCAACATAAAACATTTCCCTGAAAAACAGAATCATGATTTCTGAACTATCCCTGCCTTTGTACCAGGGGTGCACAGCTGGCCAGCAGTGACTTTATGATCCACTGAAAATCCTGCTTCAGTTTCTTCTGGACAGTGCCTTCGTGACCACACTGATTTATTTTTGCTTTTTTGTTATTTTTTCTTCCTCTGAGTGATTTTTTTTGTTGTTTTAATAAACTATATCTTAACACATATAAAAAAATCTGAAATATTGTACTCTAGAACTGCATATCCCAATATCCAAGCCACTGATGAAAATAACCAACTCCTGCAGCATCCCACACCCAGTTGTTCACATTCCCACTGAGCTTTCAAGAGTGCTTAAGATAATAAAGCTCCCAAAAATTTTCAGTATCAAGAGGATAATTGACTTGGAAATTGCAGTATGTAACCTTTGACTTGCCTGTGTTCAGTTACCCCGCAATGATGAGAGGGCTTTGCTGTTTGATTTTATGTAAGGACACATCTGGATCTTCCCATCCATTCTCTCCTAGGTGCTTAAAGGCTAAAAGCTCTCCAAGCACAGTCAGATTTCAAATCCATTCACTGTTGAGTCACTCACTCTAATTTAAATTTTTTCACATTTTAATTTCTATTTATTTTGCTCATAATCCTCCCTTGAATTCTCCATTATTAAAATCTGAAAGGGAAATAGTGCTGATCCAGAGGCCATGCTCTGTGAGCTCCTGTGCACTCAAAGTCTTACAAACTTTTACTGAAACACAAACTACAGTCAAACACTATTTTAAATTAATGCTTGGGTTTTTTTTTAATTACATGAAGCATGTAATTAGGAACATTTTAATATATAACAAAGACACCTTCTGGTCACCGAATTCCGTTAACAAAGAAAACAAATATTTAACTCAATTTTCCAATAAACTGACCAATTATACCTTAATATTGAACACATCTTAACAAAGTTTGTTACAGCAACACTCCATTTCTGAGGCTGCTCTTACATTTTTACACTGATTTGCCAAAGTTTTAAGTATTTCATCTATGACTTCACATAGTTTTAAGAACATCAAGCATCTTCCAAAAGCAAGCACCTGAACTGGAGATGAGCTTTCCTGTGACTCAGGAGGGCAGCAGCAGCAGGAGCTGTTAAATTCTACTCAACAGCATCAACAGAGAGAGGTGGCCATAACGAGAAGAGGAATAATTTCTGTTGAGAGCTATTAGACAGCATGAAAACAAATCCTGAGCTGCTTTTTGCTAAGAAACCAGAGCTCACACCCTGCCAAGTAATAAGGAAATGCACAATTTTTTTGATTGTGTGACTTCTTGTTCCACTGAAACAGGATATTGCTCCCCAGACACCACCACTGCAATGCCACTCAAGGATGAGCACTTTATTCCCAAGTATTATTTTCCTTTTGGCACAAACAGGCATTTCAACCTCACATTTCAGCTACTCTGAGTAAAACAAGAAGAGACTTATTTTAAGCTTTCCTCTTTTACACTCACCTTTACTAAGGCATTATTTTGCAAGGACTGCCTCATTTATATTAAAAGTACAGGGCACCATAATTTAACATTATTCTGATACACAACAATTATTATTATATAATGATTATAATTATTATAATTATTGCTCTGGAAAATTAATTTTATTAATGACAGTATTACTCTTACAATTAATGGAAGGGTTACACTGGAGCTTTTGAGTACACAAATTAATTGTGCACCTGCACAAAATAATCTAGAAAAGGATATTTTAATATTTAAAAATCTGCTAAATGTTATGATAAGCTTTATAGCACACTACATTTCAGAATAAAGCTTGTAGCAACTGGGGGAATAATCAGTTGCTGAATTGTAAAAGGGTTTAAATTATAGTCAAACATTTCAGCAAATTAAAGTATAACATTCTAAAATCCTCTTTGTGTAATAGGACCCACTAATGTAGCACAGTTTTAATAAAACATATTTATTTTCTGATTGCTTTTAATCTTCAAACTGTTTTTGAGCAATTGCTGCTGTGTAAATATTGAAAATGATCATTTGGTAACCCAAATAGAGAAACAAGGCATTAGACTGATTTATTTAATCACTAAGCCCAAAACCCCACATCATGAAATGCAGTCAGCAATATTAAAGAACATTAACAACCTGTCACAGATTCTGTCACCATGAAAAGATTCTCAGTAAAATGAAATGGTCTCACACACAAACGTGTGTTCCCATTTCTGAACTTCAGGTGAACAACCCCTAAGAACTATCTTATAAAAAAATATAAATAATCAAGAGCACTTTTAAGAGCCAAACCATTCATTATGGATACAGCAGAGCTACTCATGAGTGTTACCACTCAATCAAGAATAACTTCCATTAATATCCTACATCACAAGTGGGCACTAAGCTAAAACCAGACTTGGGTTATTCTCCTTGTGGTTTTAGGACTGACCAAAGTAAATCAGAAATCATCTCCTGATCAGAAAATGCAGGTATATAGTTCATACCTACAAATCATTGCTTACAGGGATAAACTATATGCAGAGAACGAGGAATTCAGCAGATTTTCTTTAACTGTTGAGACTTTTGCTGAAATTGGGCCACTTTGGGGGTTTTGCCATCAACAATCTCCAGCCAGATCAGGGTGAGAACATCACCCACACAGGGCTCACCTGGGTTTCAGCCTCTCTGCAGCTCAAGGCACTTCAAATACACAACTCCCCAACTCCAAAAGCCTGCTTTAGCTGTTAACTACATTTACAGAGCCAATTGCCCCACTGCAAAGCTAAAAGAAATCGTGAACTTTCAGAAAAACAAAGGTTTGAAGAACACTTTTGGTTTCTTGCTCTCACCTAACAAGTGTTTTTTTAGAGAGGTCTGTATCAGCTAAACAAGAGATACTGAACACTCCCATCTTAATTACACTTCTAACTTTAGCTATTTTTAACTATTTTTTTTAACTACTATTTTTCTTCTGTACTTAAATATAAATTATGTGAAATGTATTAAAATGGAAGTTTTAAAAATTCTTCTCAGTTCTTCAACATTTCCCCATATTTTAATTTAAAAATGAGAGAACTTTTTAATATCTGAAATTTTCCACGACCCCTTGTGGCTTCTGTCCATATATTGTTCAGTGACCTCCTGGCTGGCATATTGAAACAATTCATGAGAAGCTCATTAAAAGCTAGCAGGAAAATTCTTCTGGTGCATTTTATCAGAGGAGATAATGGCCTACAATCTAGAGCATGAATATGTGATAAGAAACAAAACAAAGCCATTCAGACAAAGAACACTTGGAATGTATTGTTCCCATAAGCAGATGTTAAATTACTTCACTGTAAAGTGGGATTTATAAAACCCAAAGAAATGTTATTTTTATGTGAACAAATGAGATCAGTTTATTATTTCAGCAGGGTGACACAAAGATCCTGCACATGTGTCTCACCAGGCAGGCAGATGTGTGGAGAGGAAAAACTGGTTGTGGATCAAAAATGCTACAGAAGCACGGACAGAGCAGGATGGAATGGGAGTAGCCAGACTCCTAGACTAGCTCAAACATGAAAATAAAATAAAAACCCAGTAAGCCAGCTGGCTTAAGATTAAATTGTCATTTAACTGGAGCTACACATCTTTGTGCACAGTGAGACAAGGACCAGAGACAGCTCAAAAGATACACTTTGAGATAAGGTAGATAGTAAGAAAGTTCAGAGAAAGCTTCAGCCTTCCTGGGAATTGTTAATGTCAAATACATCCAACATAAAGCAAAGAAAATAAAACGCTGATTCATGGCTGGGTGAACGCCTCAGGGCTGTCACATTCTGAGGACATTGTTCTTGGTCACACACTCAAGCTTACTGCTCTTACCAAAAATAGATTTTTCAGTCCATAAATGTTCACTTCACAACTGTTAAAACCCACTTGGACTCAATTATCTGTCGTGAAGAACCCATTGATCCTGTCTGTAATCCACTCTCGTGGGTGTAACAACATAAATCTGAAATGTCGGTGTACTCACATCAGTGTCGGGCCCCTTGTCAGCCCCAGGACAGGAGAAGGTGACGAACTCATGGCACCTCTTGTGAACCACAAAACAGCAAACTGGCAGAAAAAGGGGAAACAACAGTTAGAGTGGTTGGTGGTGGTGTTCCTTTTTTTCTTATTTTGTAAAAAATAGAAAATAAAACTTAAATATTTCACCTGTAAGTCAAGGAAAGCAAGCAGAGTCCCATGTAAAATAAAGACACAAGACACCAAGCAAACACTGTGATCAAAGAGGAGATAACCATTCACATTTAAAAACCAAGAGGCTCTACACAATGATAAATCTTTCATGCTGGAGACAGCCCACAGTGCTCAAATACAGCGTGGGATGAGCAGTTCTACTAAGGCACATTTCCTGGATCTCAATCCTGCTCTGTCACAGGAAGTGTCAATGTGCATCCAGGAGGCAGAAGTGAGGAATGTGAAGCTGGAATGAAACCCATCCTTGGGTGTGGGATTTGCTCCCCTGCACGCCTGGGGAAGGTCTGTACAAAAACCCAAATCTTTCCCAGTTAATTGTCTCTGTGAGGGACCAGAGCTCTCTGTGAGTGAGGCTGTTCTAGAGAACAAAGTGTTCTCGTAGCACAGAATGGCAGGAGATAATGGGAAAAGAAAATTAGCTCCTGATTGCAATGTGAAGCCCATTTAAAATTTATGAATGATCTCAAAGAACTTCTTCTTTCTCACATAAAAAAGTTCCTGCCATGGGATTGAGGCCACAGGTTGTCACACAGGTCCCTCCAAACCACAGCAAAAGAACAATTTCCTTGAGGGTGCTTACTTTAAGAGTCAGTATTCCAGCTTTTCACCCCCACTATGGGTTCTTTCATAATATTAAACTTAGTTCAGATATTCTGAAATTGGTCCACATTTCAATGAAACAGACAATCAAGATCTGAGAGTGAAAAAACCTTGTAATAAACACTGTGCCATCAAACAGTGAGTCAGGAGACTATAATGAAATGATTTAAAAGTAATTCACAGCTTGTTTATAGGTAATGCATTCTCTATATACTTGAAATTTTGCATTTCCAGCGCATAAAAACACATTATTTCCCAAATCTCAAGAATAAAATAGACTTAAATTGCTTAACAACTGCAAACATTGAATTTCCTCAACTTCAGGAGAAAACATATTAAATTTACTAAATTGTTCTAAAGAGCTCATTGCACGAGGCAACTTTAACCCTTCTCTTTCCCATTTAAAAGCCCCGTGAATTTCTTTCACAAACAAACAGTGAAGAGAGCTGTGGGCAGGTGCAGCTGCAGGTCCCTGCAGACACAGCCTGATCCCGGCTCATCCCCAGCCCTACGCCTGCCTTTAAAGTCTGATCACCCTTCTCTCCCTCCCAGCTATTTGTCATCAGTATCCCATGCAGAAATTGTTTCCAACTGTTCTACTTCCGACGTGGCATATGTTCATCCTTTGGGCAAAGGGAATGAAGTGGGTTTTGCTCCACTGATTCCAGATTAGCTCTGCTGACTCCACTTGAGCCGCAGCTCTGGCTCAGAGGCTGCTGCCCACTTGTTTGTCTAGTTTGTTAATCAACCTAAATCCCAGTGAATCCTGCAATTATCATTTTGATGGTTTGTTTTCTACCAACTGAAAGATCACTAAGTGGCAATTACCATTAATATTACTTGTAGCTGAGTCATATTTTACTTTCAGATTATATTTTTGGTTCCAGATCTCCCAGTCTCAAGGACAATAGACTGATTTGTGTTTTCAGTAATAAACCACAGGCAAAAATTTTTTTAAAAAAATTAAATCTTGGTATATCCTTCAAAAAATAAAGAAGTTAACTATTTTTTTAAAAGTTGTAAAACATAATGTGATAATCAATGCAAAAGATCTGAGACATATTATGGGAATATCTGGAGATCAGTAGAATGGAGCTGTTTCACCAATGCTTGCCTTTCCAATTTGGACCTTGGAGTGGCTGCTCCAGCTCTGCCTTTATTCAGCAATGTGTGTAAGGAAAACTGCATATCCGGCCATGTACTTTGGGCAGAATTTCTGCAACACCACAGCCAAGTCCTATCTCTGAGCTGACAGCCTCTCAGAGCTCAGTGTGAAGGAATTCATTCAACCAGAGACAATGGTGACATTGTTTTTAATACGATTTAAGCATCGAGATAAAGACATGGGAAGAGGAGTGCCACTGTTTGCTCCGGCCTGTGAACTTTAGCTGTGAACTTCCCTGGAAAAGATGCTCATCACACTGCAATGGAAAGGAGAATTCAGCTGCCAGAGACAGCAAAGCACAGAGGATTTAGCATTTTGGACTTGGGCTACACCTCAAAACTGCATGCTAACACTTTGATTCTCAGTGCTGGTTACTGAAGTCTCAAAACTGAATTTGTGTTCAGCCTAATAACAGCCTTTGATAGGAGCTCATGTGGGCAACTCAACATGGACAGCCTTGATTATTTTTCCTTTATTTCCCATTTGTAATGGGTGACTTATCTCCAAAGAGCCTGGTTCCTTAATAGGTGATCTAAAAGCATCAGACCCGTCTCACCTTTTGTGAATACTCAAAAGAAAACCAAACAGTTCCACACAGAAATAAATAATCCAAAGTGAAAAGAACAGTGTCAACTGAAATCCACCTGACAGCCATCATTTCTGTACATATAATTTAACAACCAAATTAATGAGTTGAAATCCAGCTATCGGACTGTATTTTAGCATTTGTTTTTAGTGTTTTCTTTATTTCATGGAGCAACACAGATCTGGAGAACTCATGTAAAAATTTCCTTAGTTCAGCTAAGTGCAAACAAAGTGTCATCTGCCCAAAATAACGTGCCATTTTTTTTTTTTAGGAATAGAGATGAAAAATAACCTCTCACTTGTTACTTGTTTTGAGGATGTTAAGAGCTTCACATCACTTACTGCAGCTGTTAGAAAGTCACATTATGTTCACCACCTTCACGTAATGAAAGTTGTATTACAGTGCTTTGCAGAGGCTGCCAGGAAATTTGTTCCTTTACACTTTACCATGAGCTGAAGGGAGCTGGCACACGTTATGCAGAGAGCAAAGTGGCTCTCGAGGCTGACAGCTAAAATTAAAAAGAAAATTATTGAGGTATTTTCGTGTTTTGACAGCGTGATTTTGATCTGTGGTGTATATATAGAATCTGGCTGAGAGCTTCCACCCTCCCCAGCTCTGGACTTGCTGGAGCCAAAGGTTCCCTGCAGCCCAGGGAGGGGATCAGGGAGGGATGCAGAGAACAAAACAGACCTTGTGCTGCAAAACCAGACTCACTGCTCGCTCTCTGCTGGCACGTGGCATCTCCCTGGCTGCTCCCTGCCCTCCCAGAGAGCAGGAAACACCAAGTGGGCAGCACAGAACCAAGGAGGAACCTGGGAGGGAGCACTCAGAGTAAACAAGATGAAGATGCTCGACAGGGCTTGTGGGATTTATGGTACATAATGGAGAGCAATTCATTCTACCCAACACTGCTCTGTCCAGGCACAGCACTGAGAAAAACATGTTCTTATCAATAATATATACATACATACATACATACATACATACATATATATATATACTGTTGTCACTTGGAGTTACAAGGCTCCACTGTAAATTTCCATCTTTATTCCAAATTATGAGGAGTGAAAATATTATTGTGCTATATGGTCAGGTGAGAGTTCTCTGCTAAAAAATACTGCTACTAATGGCTTGCACATATGACCCAGATGGATGGGACCAAAGTGAAGTACTGCAATCATAAATAACAGAAACAGCAGCAATCTTCTCTATTAGATGATCTATAAAGAAGAAAAGCCATTGCTGAGCCCACACATCACTTAGCCATATGTCTGAAGAGCTCCACAATCACAGGCATTCCAAAGAACAAGGGATAAAAAATATCAAGACAAAAGTCACATGCTTTACAACTGAGAATTATTAGAAAAGGTCAAGAGATTTTATTTTTTTTTAAATCACTTGTAAACTCCCACTTTTGGAAGAAAAAGAACAGAGTAGGTGAGCCTTTCCACTAGATATAAATAGCTCTACTACACCACAGTATTTATTTATTTATTCAGTAAAACAGAGGCAGCTACAAACCTAAAGGGTGGAGAGAATGTATTTGCAGAGAGTCCAACTGAACTGCCAGTTACCATCTACAGAGAAATCAATGAGGCTTTTAAAGCCATCTTTGACTCTTTTTTGTAATCATACAGTTATTAAGGTTGGGAAAGAGCACCAAAACCATCAAGTCCAACCTTACAACAAATACCACCATGCCCACTGAGCAATGGTCAAGACTATTGTCCCAACTCAAATGGATAACATTTTAACCAGTGTAGAAATCACATCTTTTCCTATCTAAACCACCCCCAAAGCTGTGGCTCCACTGCCATGCCATTACTGGGTGCCCCACAACAACAGGCACATAATTTGTTTCCAGGTTTCAAGCACTGATTATTCCAGAATGTTGCAGTAAGATAGAAAAATCATAAAGAAAGGCTTCATAAAATCAAGCCTGCTCTCCTCAAATCAGTGGCTGGCCTTGTCAAACTAGCCTTGGAAGTTCCCATCTGAAAGCAATCCTGGTGTGAGCAGTTCATTAACATGCCAACCTATTCCTGGGTGAAAAACAACCAGCACCTGTATAAACTGTTTTTACACTGTTAGATGGAAAAATAAAAACTATCTCTCACAAACAACTTTTCCTGCAGGTACACATCAGGGGTTTGAGTGACCAGTCAATACAGGGAACAACTTGTACTGACCAATGAAGAAATTGGCAAGAAAGCTACTGACCAATTGGAGTCACACACGAGGTCTGTAAAACTGTATAAAAATGAGTTATGTGAATAAAAAATAGGCTTTTTCTACCATGAGGAAAATGGAGTTCAGCATGATTTATTCCCAGACCAGAGGAAGCAAAATTGGAGGTCTTGAGGGCAGCAAGAGGGAAATAACTCTGTGTACACTCTGTATTTATTGTTGGGTTCCTGCTCTGGGGCTTTTAAATACGAGCTGACCCTGAACTGGACTAAGGAGCTCCCACAGAAGCTCAGCAAGAACAAAACCCCCTCTGGGGTA